CCTCATGCCCACCCCTTCTTTCAAGCCTTCTCCCAGCATCCCCCCTCCCCCCTCTAGCTCCCAATGCCCTTCCCCTTACCCTCTCCTCTCGCAGCATCACCCTGTCCCCCTCCCACTGACACCTCCCCTCCTGCCCTTTTCCTCATTGTCTGCACTTGGCCCCCTGGCATTTGTCTCTCCTCCACCCTGTCTCTTGGTGCCTTCCCCTTTCTTCCCCCTCCCCCTCCGACAAGCCCCTTCCTCTTCCACCCCTTTCCCTATTTTCCCCCTCTCCCTCTGCACAAGCCCCTTCCCTATTTTCCCCTCCACGCAAGCCCGTTCCTCCCCCTCCTCCTCCCTTTACCTTTCCCCTCACCTTACCTTCTGCCTTCCACTTTGCAGGGCCGGAGTCTGCGCTCGGGCCCCAGAAGTCCCCAGACTCTGAACCCGGAGCTAGGCCACACGGCGCAACGTAGTGCTGAGCAGTTTTAAAGTCCCAGGCCGTGACGTCACGTCATGCCCGGGCATATCCCTGCTCACCTGGGAACGCTGCGCATCGTAGCAGCAGCCGGCAGCGCGCAAGGGGGAGCTGGACTTAAAGCTGTGCACGGCAGGGCCGGGCTGGGGCCAGGGGGGACACTCTGAGGCCGGGGTGGGAGGACACGCGGGGGTCCAGGGCCTGCTCCAGGCAGAGCTGGGGGAGAGACCCAGCTCCACATATTGGTGGAGCAGGGCTCCCAGCTCTGACGCCCATTCTTCCGGGTTCAGAGTGCGGGGCCCCTTTAGGTGCGGGGCCTGATTCAGGGGAATCGGAGGAATCGGCCTAAGGCCGGCCCTGGCCCCAAAGGTCGGTTCTGGGCCCAGTTCTGTTCAACATCTTTATTAATGACCTGAATGAGTGGATGGATTGAGCTCTCAGCAAGTTTGCAGGTGGGGAGAGGTAGATACACTGGAGGGCAGAAATAGGGTCCAGAGAGACCTAGACAAATTGGAGGATTGGGCCAAAAAAAATCTGATGAGGTTTAACAAGGACAAGTGCAGAGTTCTACAAAGAAGAATCCCATGTACTGCAGTAGGCCTGGGAATCAATTGACTAAGCAGCAGTTCATCAGAAAAGGACCTGGGGATTTCTGTGGAAGAAAAGCTAGATATGAGTCAACAGGGCACCCTTGTAGCCAAGAAGGCTAATGGCATATTAGGGTGCGTTAGGAGGAGCATTGGCAGCAGATCCAGAGCAGTGATTATTCCCCTTTATTCGGCTCTAGTGAGGCCACATCTGGAGTATTGTGTCCAGTTCTGGGCCCCCCACTACAGAAAGGATGTGGACGCATTGGAGAGGGTCCAGCAGAAGGCAATGAAAGTTATGAGCGGGCTGGAGCACATGACTGAAGAGGGGAGGCTGAGGGATTTGGGCTTATTTACTCTGCAGAAGAGAAGAGTGAGGGGGGATTTGATAGCAGCCTTCAACTCCCTGAAGGGAGGTTCCAAAGAGGCTGGAGAGAGGCTGTTCTCAGTAGTGACAGATGGCAGAACAAGGAGCAATGGGCTCAAGTTGTGGTGGGAGAGGTCTAGGTTGGATATTAGGAAAAACGATTTCCTAGGAGTGTGGGGAAGTGCCGGGATGGGTTCCCGAGGGAGGAGGAGTGGTGACTAAGGGATTAACTCAAATACCTAGCTAAGGTGTCGGCTAAGGAGCCAGGAGAACCAATCGAGATAGAGGGCTGAAATTAGGGATGTTAAATATCGGTCAATTGGATAGTCGATTAACCTCATGAATTCTTATCAGTTGGTCGATTATTCTATAGCTCCCAGGGGTGCAGCCGGCAGCCAGTGCGCTTCAGCCCTATTCCCGGGGAGCCCAATGCCACCCTGCACTGCTGCTCTCTGTCAGACTTGGTCCTCGAGGGGAGCCAGTTTGAAAACCAGCCATCCTGCCATCCTGCACTGCAGCAGCCCCTGTCAGAGGGTGGGGTCTGAAATCCCAGACCAGGTGCAAACCGGAACTACGCCGGGCTACCTGCCCGCCTGGCTCCCGGCAGGAGCTCTTGTGCATTTCAAAGTGGCAAGGCAGCATGGAGCCGGGGTCAATGGGGGGCCCCCACTGACTCCAGGCTCCATGCTGAACTGTCAATTTGAAATGCCACATGGACACCCCAGCTGACTCCGGGCTCCACGCATGGCAGCGCTGCACAGCTGATCCCAGGCTCAACTGTGGAGTGCTGCTACTTCAAAGTAGCCCCTCTGCCTCCCATTTGCTGCTTCTATCTGATAGAGGCATCAAGGTGAGGGAAATCGAGCAGTCAACTAGTCCTTAACATCCCTACTTTAAATGCAGAGCTGCAGCAAGAGTAGGTCCTAGACCTGGTGCAAGCCAGGACTGAGCCATGCTGCTAGCCAGCCAGCTAAAAAAATTCCTGCCGGAAGGGGAATGCGTGTAGTCTATAGCATTAGTGGATGCTTATTGGTTAATCGGTTAATCAACTAGACTATTACATCCCTAGTTGAAATTCGAATTGGATATAGTTCCCTGCCTGTTTTCTTTGTGTGGGAGAGTTAAACCAGGAATTGAGAGACAGACAGAATGATTTAACAACGGGCAGGACCACCATGCCCCCCACAGAACTCAGGGCATTGGAGCAGACTGAAAATCAGAAGAGCGTACTAGTAATTTTTCTTTATTTTGTGGTTTGGTTTGAACTGCTCTGTGCAAATCTATGCCTCCCCCCCCCACCCCCCCACT